GCCGCTAGTTCCACTGCCTCTGTTGCGCACACGGGTAATTCTTTTGCTGGTCTTTCTCATTCCACATCTCTTGGTCCATGGATCCTTGATTCAGGCGCCACTGATCACGTTACTGATAATAAATCTCTTTTTTCTTCATTCTCTACTTCTGATTTATTACCCTTTGTCACATTAGCAAATGGCTCTCAAACTCAATCTCAGGGTATTGGTACTATCCACCTTTTTCTCTCGCTCTCCATTACTAATGTTCTTTATGTATCCGGATCTCTGTTTAACTTATTGTCTCTAAGTCGTTTGACTCGATCTCTTGATTGTACTATCTCATTCATCGAAGATTCTTTTTTCTTGTAGGACCGGAGTTCGAGACGGATGATTGGCACCAGATGTGAGTCTAATGGTCTTTATCTTCTTCAACCATCTGCACATGTTGGTTCCGTGGTGGATTCTCTCCTCCTGGTTCATGCTCAGTTAGGACATCTAAGTCTTGCAAAGTTACAAAAGTTGGTGCCCAACCTTTCCAAGTTATCTACGTTGTCTTGTGAGTCTTGTCAATTAGGAAAATATGTTCGTAGTTCTTTTTCGAATCGTGTCAATCGTCGTTCTAAGTCTCCGTTTGCTCTAGTTCATTCGGATGTTTGGGGTCCTAGTCGTATTGTTTCCACTTTAGGGTCTAAGTATTTTGTTACCTTCATTGATGATTATTCTCAATGTACCTGGTTATTTTTAATGGAAAATCGATCGAAGTTATTTGCTATTTTTCAAACATTTTATAATGAAATAAAAAATCAGTTTGGTATATTCATTAGTACTTTGCACAGTGACAATGCTCGAGAATATTTATCTACTCAAATTCAAACTTTCATGGCTACTAACGGTATGCTTCATCAAATGTCTTGTGCTCACACACCACAACAAAACGGAGTCGCTGAACGTAAAAATAGACACCTAGTTGAAACCACTAGGACACTCTTACTTCACAATAATGTTCCTCAACATTTTTGGGGTGATGCTGTCCTTACGACTTGTTATCTCATAAATAGGATGCTGTCCTTACGACTAGTCGTATTGTTTCCACTTTAGGGTCTAAGTATTTTGTTACCTTCATTGATGATTATTCTCAATGTACCTGGTTATTTTTAATGGAAAATCGATCGAAGTTATTTACTATTTTTCAAACATTTTATAATGAAATAAAAAATCAGTTTGGTATATCCATTAGTACTTTGCACAGTGACAATGCTCGAGAATATTTATCTACTCAAATTCAAACTTTCATGGCTACTAACGGTATGCTTCATCAAATGTCTTGTGCTCACACACCACAACAAAACGGAGTCGCTGAACGTAAAAATAGACACCTAGTTGAAACCACTAGGACACTCTTACTTCACAATAATGTTCCTCAACATTTTTGGGGTGATGCTGTCCTTACGACTTGTTATCTCATAAATAGGATGCCATCGTTTGTCCTCAACAATCAGATCCCTCGCTCTATTCTATTTCCTCACCAGTCTCTTCACCCATTACAGTCTAGAGTCTTTGGGTCTACATGTTTTGTCCATAATGTTAGTCTTGGGCTAGACAAACTCTCAGCTCGTTCTCATAAGTGTGTTCTTAGGCTATACAAGATTCTAAAAGGGATATAAATGTTACTCCTCGTCTCTTCGTCGATATTTCGTCTCTGCTGATGTCACATTCTTTGAGTCAGTCCCTTACTTTGGGACGTCTACAGGATCTGAGTCCCTATCACCCATGTTTTCTTCATCTCCCACTACTGCCCCACCAAACGTAGTTCTGTCTCTTTTGCCAGCCAATCCACCCACATTAGCTCCTTTGCAGGTTTATCGGCGTCGACCACGGCCACCTCCGCTACCATCAACTAATGCAGAAATCACCATAGACTCACCTTCGGATCCAACTCCTTCGTCCCCTCCGGTCCTGCCTCTGAGACTGATCTCCCAATTGCACTTCGCAAAGGTATACGTTCCACTCGTAATCCATCTCCTCATTATGTTAATTTGTCTTATCATCGCTTGTCTTCTTTGCATTATGCTTGTATTTCCTCTTTGTCTTCTGTGTCTATTCCCAAGACTGTAGGTGATGCTTTATCTCACCCTGGCTGGAAACAAGCTATGTTTGATGAGCTTTATCTCACCCTGGCTGGAAACAAGCTATGCTTGATGAGATGTGCGCTCTTCAGAACAGTGACACGTAGGATCTTGTTCCTCTTCCTCTTGGGAAATCTGTTGTAGGTTGCAGGTGGGTTTTCACAGTCAAAGTTGGGCCTGATGGACAAGTTGATCGTCTCAAGGCACGTTTAGTGGCCAAAGGTTATACAAAGCTGTTTGGCCTAGATTATGGTGACACCTTCTCTCCCGTGGTTAAAATGGCGTCGGTTCGATTATTTCTCTCTATGGCAGCTATTCGCCACTGGCCCCTTTACCAGTTTGACATCAAGAACACATTCCTCCATGGTGATTTGTGTGAGGAAGTTTATATGGAGCAACCTCCTGGGTTTGTTGCTCAGGGGGAGTCTTCTGGACTAATTTGTCGTCTTCATAAGTCTTTGGATGGACTTAAGCAATCTCCTAGGGTTTGGTTTGAGAGATTTAGCACTGTTATTCAAGAGTTTGGTATGACGCGATGTGAAGCTGATCATTCGGTGTTTTATCGTCACTCAATTGTTGGGTGTATTTACTTAATTGTGTATGTGGACGACATTGTCATTACAGGTAATGATTATCATGGAATCACACAGGTAAAACAACACCTTTGTCATCTTTTTCAGACAAAAGACCTCGGCAGACTTCGTTATTTCTTGGGCATAGAGATTGTCCAATCCAAACGGGGGATTGTGATTTCGCAAAGGAAGTATGCTATGGATATTTTGGAGGAGACAGGACTGTTAAATTCCAAACCAGTTGTCACTCCGATGAATCCCTATGCTAAACTTATGCCAGCTCAGGGGGAGCCACTCTCCGATCCTGGAAAATATAGAAGATTAGTTGGAAAACTGAATTACCTCACTGTTACTCGCCCAGATATTTCATTTCCTGTTAGTGTGGTAAGTTAATTTCTTAACTCTCCTTGTGAAGGGCATTGGGAAGCTGTGATTCGCATCTTGAAATATATTAAAGGAGCTCCAGGAAAAGGCTTACTCTATGAAGACAAGGGACACACTCGAGTTGTAGGATACTCAGATGCAGATTGGGCAGGTTCTCCTTCTGATAGGAGATCCACCTCAGGTTATTGTGTTTTCTTGGGTGGTAACTTAATTTTCTGGAAGAGTAAGAAACAAAGTGTAGTGGCAAGGTCAAGTGCGGAAGCAGAATATCGAGCCATGGCAACAACAACCTGTGAGCTTATATGGCTTAAACAATTGCTTCACGACCTGAGATTTGGAGATGTTTCACAGATGACACTTATTTGTGACAATCAGGTAGCTCTGCATATTGCATCAAATCCAGTGTTCCATGAGAGAACCAATTGAGATTGATTGTCATTTCATCAGAGAGAAGATTTTATCTAGAGATGTCAGGACTAGTTTTGTCAATTCAAATGATCAGTTAGCTGATGTTTTCACTAAGCCTTTGAGAGGTCATCAAATTAATTATATTTGTAACAAGCTTGGTGCATATGACATATATGCTCCAGCTTGAGGGGGAGTGTTAGATATCAGAATATTCCATATTATGTAAATAGAATATTCTGTAAGTAATTAAGATATCATGTAAATAGGAAATAGAATATTATGTAATTACTATGGCATTTATGCCTCCTATTATATATAATGAGCTCTGATGTGTAATTCAGACACACGGATTCAATCCAACCTTCCTCTTATTCTCTCATTATTCAACAGATATACTCAAAGAAACTAGTATGTTGGATTGTAGACAAGTTGATAGTCCCATGGATCCAAATCAGAAATTGTTGCCCAACCAGGGGGAGCCTTATTCTGATCCTAAAAGATACCGAAGATTGGTTGGAAAACTCATCTACCTTACTATTACAAGGCCATATATTTCTTTTGCGGTTGGAGTGGTAAGTCAATTCATGCAATCTCTTCATAAGGATCACTGCAATACAGTAATTCGAATTCTTAGGTACATTAAAAGAAAACCGGGACAAGGATTGCTTTATCAAGACAACATATTGGACATGTTCACTAATTGATAGGCGTTCTACTTCAGGGTATTGTGTGTCTATTGGAGGAAATCTTATATCACGGAAGAGCAAGAAGCAAAATATGGTTGCAAGGTCAAGTGCAGAGGTGGAATATAGAGCTATGGCTGTAGCCACATGTGAGCTCATTTGGATTAAACAACTTCTTCATGAATTGAAATTTGGAGATACTCAACAAATGAAACTTTGTTGTGATAACCAGGCAGCGCTACATATAGCTTCTAATCCAGTGTTCATGAGAGAACTAAATATATTGAGATTGATTGTCATTTCGTCTGGGAGAAAGTCCTTTCTAAAGAAGTTGTCACCGAATCTGTTAGTTCCAATGATCAACTAGTAGACATCTTCACAAAATCTTTAAGGGGCCCACGAATTCAAAATATTTGTTCAAAGCTTGGAGCATTTGATTTATATGCTCCATCTTGAGGGAGAGTGTTGGAATTATAAAATAAATTGAAATTAATAACTATTTAAGTGCCTAGTAAATCACATTCATGTACCTAAGAACTAAGAACTAGAAACTATAAACTACATTAATGTTCTTGTAACTCTCACATTGTATTTAGTTTTTGATTTATAAAAGCAAATCAGCTGAGTGGAATTTCACTCAAGCATTCCATAACAATTCAGTATTTTGACAATTACAGTCCGATGATATGCTTCACTTGTTAATACTATTCATTTTGACCAATTGATTTCCTATATTTTCAGATTTTGCTTCCTGTATTATTTCTTATGCGGTTATTTATATCTCTTCTCATTGACATTAATTCTTATCCAGTGCTGCTACTCTAATTCTTTATTATTTTCTGCAGTGCTACTACTCTAATTCGTCTGTAGCCGATGGGTATTTCAGTGTACTGGCAGAGGTCTACATGCGACAAGAGATACCAAACTGTGAAATACAGAGACTATTGAGTTTGATCCTTTATAAAGTAGTGGACCCATCCAGACAAATTCGTGATGATGCCCTTCAGATGCTTGAGACACTTTCTGTTCGGGAATGGGCTGAGGATGGCATTGAGGGTTCAGGTGGTTATCGAGCTGCTGTTGTTGGCAACCTTCCTGATTCCTATCAACAGTTCCAGTACAAGCTTTCCTGTAAACTTGCCAAAGATCATCCTGAACTAAGCCAGCTTCTTTGTGAGGAAATTATGCAAAGGCAATTGGATGCTGTTGATATCATTGCTCAGCATCAGGTCTTAACATGCATGGCTCCATGGATTGAGAACCTTAATTTCTGGAAACTCAAAGAAGGATGGAGTGATAGGTTATTGAAAAGTCTTTACTATGTAACATGGCGACATGGAGACCAGTTTCCTGATGAAATTGAGAAACTTTGGAGCACAATTGCTAGCAAAAATAGGAATATCAGTCCCGTTTTAGATTTCCTGATCACAAAAGGAATTGAAGATTGCGATTCAAGTGCAACAACAACTGAAATAAGTGGTGCGTTTGCTACATACTTCAGTGTTGCAAAGCGGGTAAGTCTATATTTAGCACGAATATGCCCTCAACGAACAATAGATCACCTGGTTTTCCAGTTGTCTCAGCGACTACTTGAGGATAGCATTGAGCCAGTTGGGCTAGGTGCAAGTAAGGGTGATGCCAGTGCAAATTTTGTCTTAGAATTCTCACAAGGTCCTGCTATGGCCCAAATGGCATCAGTTATGGATAACCAACCACACATGTCTCCATTGCTTGTAAGAGGATCTCTTGAGGGTCCGCTAAGAAATGTTAGTGGGAGCTTGAGCTGGAGAACAGCAGGTATGACTGGACGAAGTGTCTCAGGTCCATTAAGTCCAATGCCTCCAGAGTTAAATGTTGTTCCAGCAAGTACTGCACGATCAGGGCAGCTCATTCCATCTTTAGTTAACATGTCAGGACCCTTGATGGGTGTTAGAAGCTCAACAGGGAGTTTGCGGAGCCGCCATGTTTCACGGGACAGTGGAGACTATTTTGTTGATACTCCAAACTCTGGTGAAGATGGACTGCTTGTGGGGGGTGCTGCGCATGGCGTGAGTGCAAAGGAACTTCAGTCAGCCTTACAAGGTCATCAGCAGCATTCACTTACGCATGCAGATATAGCGCTGATTCTCCTTGCTGAAATTGCGTATGAGAATGATGAGGATTTCCGGCAATACCTGCCTCTACTCTTTCATGTCATCTTTGTTTCAATGGATAGTTCAGAAGACATTATCCTAGAGCATTGTCAGCATTTGCTTGTTAATCTGCTATATTCCCTCGCAGGCCGCCACTTGGAGCAGTACGAGGTGGAAAATAATGACAGGGAGAACAAGCAACAGGTTGTGAGTCTGATTAAATATGTACAATCAAAGCGAGGAAGCATGATGTGGGAAAATGAGGATCCAACAGTTGTCAGAACTGAGCTGCCAAGTGCAGCACTTCTATCTGCCCTAGTTCAGAGCATGGTGGATGCTATCTTCTTCCAAGGGGACCTTCGTGAGACTTGGGGAGAAGAAGCACTCAGATGGGCTATGGAGTGCACATCAAAACACCTTGCCTGTCGTTCACATCAGATCTACCGAGCACTTCGACCTAGTGTAACAAGTGATGCTTGTGTATCCCTTCTTCGGTGTCTCCATAGATGCCTAGGAAATCCAGTACCCCAAGTTTTAGGATTTGTTATGGAAATTTTAATGACAATGCAAGTTATGGTAGAGAATATGGAGCCAGAGAAGGTGATACTCTATCCTCAGCTATTTTGGGGGTGTGTTGCTATGATGCACACAGATTTTGTCCATGTCTACCGCCAGGTTCTCGAGCTCTTCTCTCAAGTGATTGACCGTTTATCATTCCGTGATCGCACAACAGAAAATGTGCTCCTTTCAAGCATGCCTAGGGATGAACTTGACACCAGTTATATAGGAGAATTTCAACGCACAGAATCTAAAAGTGGCTATGAACCCTTACAAGAGGGGAGTTTGCCAGTATTTGAAGGGGTGCAGCCTCTTGTTCTTAAAGGACTTATGTCGAATGTTAGTCACAGTGTCTCTATTGATGTCCTCTCCCGTATCACAGTGCATTCTTGTGATTCTATATTTGGTGATGCTGAGACAAGACTGCTGATGCACATTATAGGGTTACTCCCTTGGCTCTGTCTTCAACTCAGCAAAGACCCAGTGATAGGTCCTGTTTCTCCACTCCAACATCAATATCAAAAGGCTTGCTCTGTTGCTGCCAATATTGCAGTTTGGTGCCGAGCAAAATCCTTGGATGAATTAGCTACTGTATTTATGATTTATTCGCGAGGTGAGATCAAGAGCATCGACATTTTTCTAGCATGTGTTTCACCACTGCTATGCAATGAATGGTTTCCAAAACACTCGACTTTGGCATTTGGGCACTTGTTAAAGCTACTAGAAAAGGGACCGGTTGAGTATCAACGCGTCATTCTACTCATGCTTAAAGCTCTCCTCCAACACACTCCAATGGATGCTGCCCAAAGTCCACACATCTATGCAATTGTATCCCAATTGGTGGAAAGTACTTTATGTTGGGAGGCTTTAAGTGTGTTAGAAGCCCTTCTACAAAGTTGCAGTTCATTGACTGGTTCTCACTCACATGATATTGTATCATTTGAAAATGGAATCAGTGGAACTGAAGAAAAGTTCCTTGCTCCACAGACCTCATTCAAGGCTCGCAGTGGCCCCTTGCAATATGGTATGAGTTCAGCATTGGTCCCAGTTTCTACACCAGGACAGGGTGTGTCAAATGAGTCGCAGAGAGAGGTAACTTTGCAGAATACTCGTCTGTTTCTTGGTCGGGTGTTAGACAGAAGTGCACTAGGCAAGAGAAAAGACCAGAAGAAGTTAGTCCCTTTTGTTGCTAATATCGGTAACCCATGATTGTATAATTATATTTGCTATGTGTTGTATATATAATTTCTATTATGGTGTAGGAATTGCTCTAGGATAGAGGTTGTATTGTACATAGGACACTTAGAAACTTGTATGACAGTTTTGTAGCTCTGTAATTGTAGACAATATACTTTTGATGCCAAATATCATGCATAATTTAACTTCAATGTATATCTCTGCGAAGTTTTGATGGGTTTATTTGTGCCCTCAATACTTAAAAGTTTTTTTTGTAATCTAATAGATACGGTTATTTTCAAAATCATTATATTTTGTTTTATTATACAAAACTAATCTATAATATAAAAAAATTAGATGTTTTGAAAAACACCAAATTGATATTTTCTCTTTACCAACCACTTATATTGTCTCAAACACCAAATTACAAACACTTTTTGTTTTAGTAGTTCATCAACAACAAAATGGTAACTTACACTTTTTTAATAACAAGTAGTTTATGAATTAACAATAGGACATTTTCTTCTTATATATATATATATATATATATATATATATATATATATATATATATATATATATATATATATATATATATATATATATATATATATATATATATATATATATATATATATATATATATATATATATATATATATATATATATATATATATATATATATATATATATATATATATATATATATATATATATATATATATATGTCTCTCTCTCTCTCACACACACAAACACAAACACAGACACACGAAAAACACTACAATCCAAGAAAAATAAAGCAAATTTTATGTTGTTGGTTGATGGTGTTTTTGAGGATGTTTTTAATGATGTTTTTCAACGGTGGTTTGAGATAAAGAGAAGCTTTGATGAGTTTGATGACGAAGTTGTAACTTCACCATCAACTATTGTATTTTTTATTATTGTTTATTGTTTCAAAAATTTACACGTTTTAAAAATATTTATTTAACTCTTTCATAAACAATATTTGGAAAACATCTTTAATTGCAAATATTTGAACATACAATTTAGGTTAAAATGTTTTCAGCATTTAGGGCTTACTTATTTTGATTTTCATTTATACCATCTTTGGGTTACATATTTTGGGTTTGCATTTATAATGTTATGTTTGAATATCATGACTTGCAGAATTTAGATCCATTTGCAGTTACATGGATTTTCTTGCTTTTACACAGCGATGTGCGATTTCGCAGTGCTAGATCTTCAGTAAAGCTCTAAATTTTGCATGTATTTTGTGTGTATATTAATTGGTATTTTATATGTGTAAATTTTAGGGTTTCTTTTCAGTAGATATATTTGGAGTTTCTTGCTTTAGGGTTCTATACACCAGAAATTATGATGGTAAAAAATCTGTGTATGATGAAGAGGTGACTGTTGACAAAATTAAGGTACTCACAAGCTACTCAATGAACTTTCGACTAAACTTTCTTCAGTTCAATTATTTTTCATGTTTTTTTATCAATATTTGGAATTAAAATTTGAAGAGTTTTCAGTTTTCATGTGTATATTTTGTTGGAGAAAACTATTGAAGTATATTTCGACAACACTATTGGATAACACCAATTTCTATGACACTATCTACAAGCACGATTCATCATCGCCGAGTTCTATGCCCTGCAGTATATTTCGATTCTGCTACTTTTTACGTGAATACTCGATTCATCATTTTCTCTCTCGTCTGATTTACTTGCTATACTCTTTTCTATATCTAAATTGTGATCATGCTTATATTGATTCCCTTAATTTATTTTCATTTTCAGCTTATATTTGTTCAAAATTTCTACGATTATGCAAATCCAAATGTCGAGGTTCGTTCATGTTGATTTCTGCAGTAGGAAAAAGCTGCTTCCATCTTGAGCAGTCTTGAAACTCCAATTGTTTTTTTTACAAAAGTTGATGCCAATGAGGAGAAGAATAAGGATATGAAGTTAAGGGATTCCCAACAATTAAGATTATGAGGTATTGATTTTTAACAAAAGTATTAATTTTTTGCACAAAGTATTGATTTTTAACACTTAATCTTTGAAATGCAATGTTGAATGTGATGGTCAGTCTCAAATCCTATTTATTCTTGATGATGTGTGGTCAAAATCGGTAGTGGAGTAGCTTCTCTTTAGAATACCTCATGTTAAACACATTGATTTTTCTAGGTTCTGGTTCGTTGATGTAATTTATTAAGTGGAAAAGTTGGGCGAACACGACGAATTTTCTTTGTTTTGTCACCACGCTTTCAGACATAAATTAATCTACTTTGCAACTAATCACAACTTACTCAAAAAGGTAATGGTTTTGTTGTACCCCAAAATTTGCCCTTTCATATTCTTCAAAGTTTTGACAAGCATCATCTCAATTTGCTCAAGTTTACTCAAGGGTTGCACAGTCAAACCATCCTCCTAAGCCAGTCAAAATTAGGGTTTTGGTTCTTGCAAGGAAGTTGAGGTTTTCAAGGACTCAATCAAGTTCCATATGCCTATATACATTGTCAAGCATCCACATGTCAAGTTTCAAGGCTCACAAGGGCACAGTCAAAAGCCCTATTTACTTCACAGTCAACTGTAGGGGTAAAATGGTCATTTGGCAGTCAAAAGTCAAATTTTTTGGTCAACATCTTATTTTGAAGCCACAATCATCATTTGATCAAGTCTTGATCATGATTCCACAAGAATGGCTCAAAAATCATCAAGATGCAAAAGTTTCCATTTTTGGACAGCTGAAAAGTCAACTATAACTTGACCAAGGCATAACTTTTTCATGGTTCATCAGAAAAATCCCATCCAATGCTCATCTTGAAGAGGAGGACATTTCCTACAACTCATCTTCACATTCCAAGTCCAAGAAATGCTCTCACAAAAAGTTATCAATTTCAACATTATAGGTCATTTTCAAAAGTCAACAAAAAGGCATTTTAAGTCAAAGACTATAACTTGAGATTGGTAAATCAAAATGACATGGGACCAAAGGCATTGGTTAGAGGACTTCAAGACCTTTTCAAAATGTCCAAGAACATGTTCATATGATCAAAATTGAGCAAGATATGCATTGGAGAAGTTGGGAAATTTGTGAAATGGCAAAAGTCAACTATCCTTGAAACTTCAATTTTTGGAAAAAGGGCCCACTTTCTTCCACTTGATTCAGCCTTGTCATGCCACTCACGTGTCCCATGATTAATTTCAAGACCAAACATTTATTTTTTCATTTTTATTTAATTTTTATGGATTTAATTCATTTTAATCCATAATAATTCAAATAAAATCAAAAAATTAATTAAATGGCATCTTTGTGGTTTGAATGGCTTTCATACAACATATGCCAACTACCAAATTCGTGTAAGGATATTTTGTGCACAAAATCATGGTTTTGCCTCAAACTTGGAAAGTCCTTTAATGGTGTTAAAGCAAAATCTAAAAACTTAATTGCAATGGATCCCAAGCTCATAATGTGACCTAAATGCATTCCCATACATATGCTGAACCAAAACCTAAGACATTTCACGTGCAAGCTGCTATCAAACACCATAGCCAAATTCCCATAATTCAAAGAAAAAACCAAAAACTGTTTTTCATATTGCAGATCAATTCAAGGCCTTAGAGTGATTCCAATACATTGCTGGGACATTCAGGAACGCGTTGCAATCCAAAACAAGCCTTAAAGCTCCATGAATCACCTCAAACAGTCACACGGTTTACCATTCTTTTCCATAATCGAAACTCAAGTTTTATGCATCATTAACATGTTTTGATTATTGCTTTGCATTGCTAACATCATTCTGAAGCTTTTGGTATTGATTAATTGTCTTATGGTGCCCTGAAACGCAAAACACCATTAATGAAATCTAGGGTTTCAGAGCTCTTAATTTAGGGCTTTACAACATAAGCAAAATCAGAACCTCTCATGGCTATGGTTAAATTCGTCAGGATGAGACGAACACATTGATACCCTCACGCCCTTTTTATATGTGCTACACGTCTAATCGCTATTATTGGCATTTGCAGTTTGTGGGGGTTAAAAACCCCCGCTATCTAACATGTTTTATGCAGGTTTCAGCGAAGGAGATGAAGACGTGTTGAGCTGTGGTTGGAGCATTAAAAAATAGCGCGCGCTTTTCTTTGTTTCCAGCCTATTAATTGTTTTCATATAATATAATTAATTGTTGTTGTATTATCAAAGCGCGCAGATTGGTGTAGTGGCAAGGGCGAACAAGCATTGAACATTGGGACCTGGGTTCGATTCCCAGGTCCACCCAAAAACTTGTTTCCATTTTTCTCAATGTATTCCTGTGCAGGCTTCTGAAGGTGGTACACCATGTGCCCTGACACTCCAGTATGCCAAGTGTTTACAAACAACAATCCAGTGGCCAGGAGATAAGGAACACCATATTCTCCAGTCAACGCTTGCACACTTGATTCCAGAAGTCAACAGGCTTGGCTTATTGGGCCTAAAATTTCCAGATCCACCTCCATTCTTGGGTCAACACCCCCATTGGTTTCTATTTCTTTTTCTATTTTCCTTTTCTTTTTATTTTCTTTAGTAATTATTATTAGTATTACTTAATTAATCAATTAATTAACATTTTCACAATAAAATTCAGAAAACAAAAAAAAAATATTTTATTATTTATTAACTTATTTTGTAAATAAATGTAAATTAAATTAAATTAGTTTAATTAATTAACTTTAATACTTTTTTACAATAAATAAAAACAATTTAGAATTAGGTTTTTTTGCTAACTTTTAATTTATTTTCTCTTTATTTTTATTGAAAACACAAAAAACACAAAAATATTTTTTTAATAAATTAATTAATTAAGTTATTAGTTTTAATTTAAATTAATTGCCAAAAAGGGACAAAATTCAATTCTTTCTCAAAAAAGGGTCAAAACCCTTAGGACGTCCCGTTTCAATCTTTCGCGCGCGTGTTTATTTTTTAATTCATTATTATGTAACTGCTTCCGGAAATGTAATAGCTAATTAGGACCTCATTTATCGCTTTATTT